GCAGGAGCGCCGCCACGCTCCCAAGCGGCGCACTAGCACAGTGTGCCACCGGGCCGGCCCCAGAGGGTTTGTTTTTAATCCTTCTGTTCTTTCAAAAACATCCAGAGAAGGCTACTGAGATCAGGTCTCTTTCTCTGCTTATCTTACAGCTGTTACACTAGGTTCTTCTTATGTTAAAGAGGCACAAACATCTCTGCTAAGTCTTTTTATAATGGAATAACCCCAGTATCACCTCCAAGGCTTTTATGTGTCATGCAGACCCAATAATAATGGACATAATTGGTCGAAAGGTTTACATTACATTAACATTTACTTTTGTAATTTCAAATCCTTTTAGAGTAGAAAATATATTGTGAGAGCACCTAAAATGTTTTAAAATGTTGCCGTGCTAATATCCACTGTAAAATTGTGAAGGAATTTTGAATAAATAATTTTCATACTATGCCAATTATTTAATCCATATGCCAAATTAACCTCTTCTCTCAGTATGGTTTATTTCATTTTTCTTATTCCAAAAATGAGCATCCAAGTCCAAAGACCCTGGAAAAATACTATTCCTATTGTTAAATCAAACCCTGTACCATTGTCCCTGAGCTATAAGGGCCATTTAAGTTTTATGTATTGGGTGTTAGTATACACCTAACTAAACTGGAAAGCTAACTTCTAGATTTCCATTCATTATATTTTGTTTCACTGCCAAGTTCATTGAAGTAAGCAATTGTTGGTTTATTTCCCCATAACAGTGGATCCTTGCAAAGCTAGAAGAAGCAAGAGAACCTTCTCCAAGCCTCTGATGAAGAGAACACGGCCTGAAGACACACAGCAATAAATTACTACAGCTTCCAGATTGTACCTTCCAAAACCTGTTTGGGAAGCAAATTACAGAAGTAACTTCAAGTACCCCATATTCTAGATGCTAAAAAGAAAAAAAATCAGAATCAGGTAAAACAGCTATGTGATAAAAGTATTTCAGTTCTTCAGAGATCAGTTCGGTTTTCTAACTTGAATCATGCAACCGGTTATAATTCTAATTATCTTATGAAAGAAGTAACATTTCTTTTAGGAATGATTATTTGTTCCAGGTTACTCTCTGTAGTTGTGGAGAGGTTACCCATAGTTAGTCCTTACATGGAGTCAAGTTTAACGTTCCTAGTTCACATTTTAAACTTCTTTCATGCTTGCTTTGAACTCCCTGAGTGATAGGTGAATAATCAAATCAAACATTGCTTCAGTGGTATCAAGAGAACTTTCACGGGGTTTCTTCAGAACCATGAAGTTCTTTTTACAGATAAATATTTTGGTATTCCTTATTTTTTTAATAAAGTATAGTTTGAATTATACTTAAAATGCATAGCATGATTATGAAAAATAAATTTTTTTATATATAACATATAACATAGATTAAATTATACCCTTTCAAGCCTCACCTTAAGAAAGGCTTGAAGAAATGAGTATCATGCCCAAAAAAGGAAAGTTCCTCTCAGAACTTTAGAGCCTTAGAAATACTTTCTCTTGCCACTCCATGGGACTTACTTGGTTTACCCAGGTCATTCATGTTTCTGATAGACTGCTGTTGTCAAAGGAAAATTCCTAAAGCCTTAATAATACCTATTTCCATTTGCTGGTACCATGAAATAAGCAGTTCCCAACATCTTAGATAAAATGGGTTATGCTTCAGAGACAGCCTCTCTGATAAGTAAATGTATATACCCTAAAATCTAACCCAGTAACCTATCCTGTTAATAGTAGACTGAGAATTTCTGGTTTGCTTTCTCTACAATTATCTAAATGAGAATTGCTCCTTTAAATGTACAGCTCATCAGAACAAAGATCATAGGTTGCACATTAGTAAAAATAAGTTCATGGGGTTTTCTTCTTGGTTTTTGTCCAAGATCTTTTGTACCTTAATACTAACAGACTGCTTCAAGTAAAAGAGAATGAATATATGATTGTGAACTGTGAAGAGGGTGATGCATTGTCTTATTTAGTTTTTGAGTAATATGAAGTATTTGATGCATGTTGTGTGTGCTGCCAATTTATTATAAACTGTTTTTGGAACTGAAGACTGTATAGTCAGTGGTTGTGAAATTCTCAGGCTCCTCAAACCCTTGCTTTGTTGTAAAAGCTAAAATAAACAGCATGCCAGACTGTAATTGTATTTCTTGCTGACCAAATCCCTCTACTAAATACTATTGATTTCCCTCTGATTATGAAAATACATTGTTTATTGTCAGAAGTTTCCCCCAGAATGCTTTCTTCTTTGCTGAAAATAAAGTGAATGAAAAGATGACAAATTTCAAACCATATGATAGTATATGTCCCCATGATGACCTTTGTTCAGAATAGTGTACATGTTTTCTCTGTTGCTGAGCTCCTCCAATTTTGCATACGTCAGAATTGGACCTAAAAGTAGAGGTAGTCAGAAACCTTGCATCAGATAGTTCTCATCTGATTACATGTTTTCTCTGTTGCTGAGCTCCTCCAATTTTGCATATGTCAGAATTGGACCTAAAAGTAGAGGTAGTCAGAAACCTTGCATCAGATAGTTCTCATCTGAAATGCTGCTTTACGGGAGTTCCATTCAATGCCATTAGTCAAATACCTCATTACCGACTCCAGTTTCACGATATCAGCATTCTCAGAAAAATTATAGACCCATAACTCCCTTGGTATCCCATGATGAAGCAGGAAAGCCTAAAATAATAAGCATAGAAATTCTGGTATTCTCTAGTGGCCAGCAGGAATGGGTTTTGTAAATAGCGCATATTGAAAACCAATGTTTCTATCTTTCCTGTTCCCTTACCAATAAGAACCTAGAAATCTCTCTTCTTATGCTTTCTCTACCAGTTATCTACCAATCACATCTACCCATCTGTAAAGGGATGCACAATTTCAAGAGCTGTAGTTTATCATTTGTTTTAGGAGATTGTCTTCATCTAAACAGAAAAAAACCCTAAGTACATCAATAGATCACTAGATAATGAGTTAGTATTTTTAGTGTAGCATATTAATTTATAGTTAATGTGCAATTCTATAATCCTTTTTTCATGATTGTTAGAGTCCAGAATCTTATTGTATTTGAAAAGTCAGCCCTGAGTTACATTTAACTACATTTAATGGCTCTCTGCTTGAGACCTGTAAGCCTGTTTTAGTTGTTTGGTGGTTGCTATGGAATTTGCTGCTGACTCTTATATCCTTTCTCTCTGTGTTGTTTGCTGGCTATATCCCAGGCCCTTCATTCTGGCACAGCACATACTGTTTTCTGGTCCATGATAATTATGTGAAGACCAAGGCAGAGTGTCTGTTCTCTGCCAACTCTCCAGAAAACCAAGATCATTAGAAATAGCAACTTGATTTCTGGTGCAAAAAGAAACCTGTGATTTCTTCACATTTACAGAATACCCTCTGACCCAAAGGGCATGTGCACTTCTCCAGTGGCTTCCCTCTTGGAGTGTATATATTTGCTGCTTCTCTAGTTAGCAAGACCTTGGGATTTTTCCCACGGTCAGTTTAGGACAGCTGAGTTGTTTTCTGGTGCCTAAGTACTCATTACTACCTATAGACAGTCCTTCCCTACCTTCTGTCCTCCATAATCCTAATCCATTTGGAGGTAACTATCCTGTGGCCTACAAATAACTAAGAAATTTTCCTTAATATCGTAAATATCTCTCTCCTTTTTTTTCTGACAGTGAGTGGAAGCAGTAGTATTACCCCAGTGAATATCTATGCACCTAGCTCATCTGTTAGAAACATTTCTTAAAGTGGTATCTTATTCCTGTCTGGTAAAAAAAATTAAAAAGGACTCTGTCAGTGCTGAATTTTCTGCCCCTTAGTTATTCAGTCATCCATTGCCAGACCCTTCAGGCTATGCCAAATGACCCTTTGCATAGGCTCCTGTATTAAAAAGATTGGGGGGGGAAAATTGGATTTGTTTGCCTGTAGGAGCCAAAGGTGTGTGCCAAATGCATTGAAGGTGGAAGTAGCTATCTGGCACTGGGTGTCTTCATGGCTCAGTCAGCACAATTCAGAGTAATCTGTTTGGTTCCAGGGCCATTGCTTTTTACCTTTTCTCAGGATCAACCAGAATCCCCTAGGACATTGTTTTTTAAACTGTAGGTCTTAACACAGTAGTGGGTCATGAAATCAATTTAACATCTCAAAACCAGCTTATTTTAAAAGTGGAATAGAAAAGAAAATAGAGGAGCAATAGAGTGTAACTAGGTTAAGTATTATTTACTGAAATATTGTCTTAGTTAAATACTCTATATACTGTGTTATGTGCTAGGTTACTATATAAAGAATTTCCTATTGTGAATTGCAGTTTAAAAAAAAAAAAAATACCTGAAAGACTGCTATAGGAGGAATGGGCCATCCAGTGATTGCTGGAACAATTTGGTTATGTGGAACCTGACCTTAGATAAGGAGCAGCAGACCCACAACTCAGGAAGTCTTCAGATTATGAACACCGTCCTTTACATTAGAGCGAAAAGATAGGATGGCTCTAGTTTGGCTTTATAAAATGTTTTTCTTTCCTGGTGTGTGTATCAGATACCCTCATGTGACTCAATGGGACCAGAAAAAGCATAGAAAAATTAGATCCACAAACATCACCCAAAAAAGTCCACAGGCTATCATTTTAACTAGATGTATTTCAACCTCCTTAACAGTAAGCATTTTACTAGAACAGGGGACAAAAGTTTTCGTTTGAGTAAGTTGTTTGTTCCACCTACCTTCTAGCTGATTCACTACACAAGTGGCAAAGGCCTTTTAAAATGAGGAGCTAATAAATAGGGCACATTCTTTTAGAGCCAAAATAATAATTCTCTGGGGGTGCTATACAATTGTCAATGCATTTTAACTAAAAATATGTATTTCCTCATTTCTTTAAGATCCAAGTAGTAGGAAATGCAGTTAACTTGCATTCCTTATGCAGGACTCAATACAGAACTTAGTCAACCTGATTTTCTTTGGTGCTATTCAATATCACTTATAATTCCTTTACTCCAAAAGGGACCCTTTTCATCCTCCTGCCTAGTCTTTTGAAATATGCTTTTGATTTTTATTTGTAATGCTACCCTAATCAATCTAGTATTAGTCAATTAAAATTTTATGATTCTTGTGATCTGTATTTTCAGTTGTTGGCAAATATGGCTATTAGTGCAACTTTTTTTCCCACTCTTCTATTCTTTCTGCCACAATTAGTGTAAAAGTAGTATTTGTTTCAGGGCTATCCTGAATATAAGGCCAGCACATTGAGAAGATGCTAGATCCTGTCTATTACAAACCTCATTCATGTTACTTTAAACAAATCTTTTCTACTTTATTTTTTCTTTTGTAAGATAAATTGTTCCATATCATTAAAAAAAATTTACTTTAGAATTGTGGATTAATTCTACTTTTTAAAAACATTATAGCATTTTCAAAAAAATAACATTTCGTTAACCAAAGAGCTACACAAGAAATGTAACTTCACATTTTACAGGTTGATATGACTTTTTTGAAGCTTTTATTACTTTATATAAATTAATTTGTATTATAGTTTAACGTCTACTATGACAGATATCAAATTGCTATGATAGAAAATCCCTGTGTCTGTCACTGAACATCATTTATTAATTGTGCTGATATCTTAATAATGTGTTTCTTTTAATGAAGTCCTCGTAGTGAGAAACCCTGTGAGATTGGTATAATAAAATGTCTAATAATCAGAAGTTAAAGTAGAACATGTTGTAAAACCCCAACATTTCTTGTAATGCCATCATACCTCCAGTGTTTAGTTTACTCCAAAGTTCCCAGTTCTTGGGCTGAAAAACATTCAAGTAAAAATGTAGCGTAGATTACAACAAAATAGTCTCAGTATCAATGATTTTATACCCATATTCACAAACTATTAGAAATTGTGTCTGGTACTTGTTACAAGGTCAAACAGACTGTTATAGATTTATAATAATTATTATCTCTGTATGGGACTGTGTATTACATGTAAAAATGAATTTTTCAGGAACAGTGCACTTTAAAAATACTTTCTTTTGCTAAATTTGTATTGACCAAATAGTCTGTGCTTATTTGGAATGCTTATTTTTTGGTGTGAAAATATGATCATTGGTTATGATAATGAGTTTTTTTAAATAATCCATTTCTACTTCACTGCTGTATTTCCTTCACCTTTCTGTTCCTTATCCCTCTTTTATGTGGGCTCAGCCCAGTTGCCTGTTACACAATCTCTGCCTTGGTTTGTATATTCTGATAAGATAATTTGTAAACACAAATGTTTACAGTGAAGTTCTTCCCCTTGAAACTGACCATAGTTTTTGTTTTGTTTTTCTAAATATTGGTTGGCCATGCTCATTAATGACTTTCTTCTAAACACATTTCTTGGTATCAGTAGATTTGGATTGCTGAGTTTGACCATGTATATACTTTTTTCAAATAAATTGAATCAAATAAAGATTTTTGATCTTCAGTCTGCTTCTGTTTTTAGTTATTGGACAGAACTAGAAACATCATCAATAACCTCTTGCCTATCTAAATTCTACCCTCTTTGGGGCCTAAATAAATGTGGATAACTAACAGATTGTCCCAAGTTCTGATGTTTCAGTCAAAGCAGACAGCATTCCAGCCCAGCATGATCACTGCTGACTAAAAGGGCTGAGTGGTAGTACTTCTTAACCAACACTGTATCTCTCAAGCTCAGAAAACTTCAAATGGCTCGTTTCCTCAATACATAATGAGTATATTATGAAAGAAAGACTAGAGGAGAATTTTCTATCTAGGAAATCAATATTGGCAGTGATAATTAATTTACCTCTAACATGGAGAGTTTAGCCTTTCCATGACTTAAGAAAATATTATCACCCTTTAAATGATTTATATGACCGCCGTCCTGCAACTAGAGTGATTGAAAGCCATCATTTTCTTACACACTTGAAGAGTCAGCCAAAAATAAATTAATAATAATTCAATGCTAGAAAGTGCTTGAAATGAAAAACAAAGTTCCACATTGTTTAATTTCCCTGATTACTAATTCTGTTGGGCCCTTTTTATATATTAATTGGCTGATGTGAGCTAGTTTATAACCTTTAGCCCATTGGGGTTTTGTCTTGCTTTTTGTTTATGTTTCTGGATATCCTGAAGAGCTAGTCCCCATCTCTTTGTTTTCTTGTACAAAATTGTCTAGGCTATTCCTAAACCTGTTCCAGATAAATTTTAATATTAGTTTGTCAAGTTCCACAAAAAAAAAAACTGTTGCTATTGCATTCATCTTTCTCTCTCTCTCTCTCTCTTTTTATTTTTTATTTTTTCTGATGGCTGGCATTCATCTTTTTAGTGAGGATTAGTTTTTAAAGCTTAATGTTGGTATGGTATAATTGCTACATGTAAGCGTAATTTCAGTCTTTTCCAGCGTTCATGCTTTTCTTTAATAGCTTCATATCTGGGATTGAATGAGTAGACCTGAGAGTCCAATAACTGGCTGAAAGGAGGACTTAGGGAAGCTATAGGAATGCTGACATGTTCTTCTATAACATATGTAACCAATCCAGGTACACTTGGTAGGTGACTGATTTGTGATAGACCTGTCACACCTTAAATCCCTAAAGTGTTGTGCTTGTGTGTGTGCACCTGCAAATAAAAAGCCAGAACCAAAACCATCTTGGGCCTTTAGTTTGAAGCACATTGTACTCCCCAAAGGATTCTGCTTCTGCTTTACTGAGCCAGCTACTAAAGGAGCTCCAGCATAACATAGTGAATACAGACTTGTCTCAAAAGGAGGAAACGTAGGAAAGTTTCTGAGTTATTATTAAAGCCACAGCATTTTTCTCTTTAGGAGCAAAACCATCAATCAACCATGAGCTCTAAGAAACACAACATAATCCAGTGCTAACAGAATGGTATTATTCTTAGCCTCCTGAGAAAGGCACAGGATACATACAAAGTTCAAACACAGCAAATCTGTGGTGGCCATCAGAACTTTGGCAGGGGTTACATAGCATTAGTTAAACAATTTGGGCTTTTAGGCATTTTGTAAGTTTACAAGACCTGGTCATATACGTTGGAATATACACACACAAACACATTTTTCACCAATATGACATATACTATCAATAGCCTATTTATCATACGTCTACTTTGGCCCATGTATATCTACACACACACACATACACACTTTTTGCCAATACAACCTATATGCTATCTAGAGCCTATTTGCCATATGTCAACTTTGACTTCATGGTGATCAAATTTTGGCAAAACTTAATTAGATATACTGGTACATTCATTGATTTGGCGTAGAAAGTTAACACAAAAAGAACTAACTGTTTTAAAAAATCTTTGGTGGCATGTTAAAGGAGTCATATTTAATTAAGCATGAGGAGAGAAAACACTCAGAAATGTCTATTAGATTTAATAAAAAGCTTCAAACTCATTAACATCATTATTTTTAAAAAGTCACCTGAAATAATCCTAAAGGTCTCCAGGTGTAATCTATAAATTAACTGGCTCCCCTCTGTAAGACAAAAAAAAAAAAATACACAATGGTGCCACTGGAACTTCTGTTCAGGAGAGGGGAATGGAGAGAGAGGCTGTTCCCACAGGTCCTGCCAGCCTCTGGGCTGATGCCCCCCCGGGGTGGGAGGTCGACAAGATCAACAGAGAAAAACATGGTCCCAAGGTGAGCACGTCCTTACCTGTGTACTCTGGGAAATAGCTTATTAGATGAGAGTACATGATTTTCTCTTCCAAGAGATCCTTCTTGTTTAGGAACAAAATCACAGATGAGTTCAGAAACCAGGGGTAGGTGATGATGGTTTTAAATAAGGCTTTGCTCTCTTCCATGCGGTTCTAAGTGAAACAAGGGACTCAGAATAAACCAAGAAGAAAAGCACTGCTTTGGAAACAACAAGCTGGTGCACACTCCATCTGCCAGTCCTCCTCTGACCCTGCTGCAGTCTCTGGGTCACTGTTCCTGCCGGCTCTGGTGAGCATGGGCCGTGAGGACCAGGCCTCCTGCCTGTATCTGTCCCTCCCCCACCCTCTTACTGATTCCTGCTTCTGGATCTCCTCTCCTGGAGCACCCCTACTCTTCCCTAGCCCAAATAAACGTGTAAGCAATTGAGAGAGGCTTCCATGCGACTTGGAGAAGGAAGGTTCATGCCCACCTTTGACAAAATTTTTCTGTGTCATGTAACTGTTGGAATTACCAAGGGGGGAAGTTCCACTCCAATTGGGTATGGGCTTCCAGACTGCAACATAGAGGAAGGAAGGAAGGCTCTTGCAGCTGGGCCACCGCCCTGGGAATGCTAGACCTAGCCCAGGAGGGAGTAATGCTACAGAGCTCCTGCGGTGCCATCCCCGTTTGATGGACAAGAAGACATACTATTGTTCAGAAAATCTGAATAACTCTCCCAAGCCTGTATAATAGTGGGATCTGGTGAAGATTAGGTGAAAGGACAGTCATAATTTCTAAACTTTAGACATTGGCAAGAAAATATTAAATGCTTCTAGTTGATGGAGAGCACACAGGGCACATACAAACCTTATCTGGTGACTATAATTGTTCTAGATAGCATTCTGCTCTCTCAGAAGTATAAGGGTACTTCAGAAAGTTTGTGGAAAAATAGAATTAAAAGATAACATTTATCTTTCCATGAACTTTTAAAAGTACCCTCGTATTTCTAAGCGGAAAAAACCAAGGGAGGGAAAAAGTCAGACTGCAAATCGTCAAAGCTGAGCACACGTGCTCCAGAGGGACACGCAGTAAATGTCTACTTCCCCAGAAACCTGGGCTCATCCTCCAAACTCGATACAGTTTGGGGGATTAAGATCTGGTCTGTATTACCAGAAAGGTAACCCCTCACCTGTTTTTAAAGCTGCTTTAAAATGTATTATGATCTTATAAATAATGATCCCCAAGGAAATAACAATATATGAAAAAAACCTGTACAGCATAGTGAGTGAATACAATGCATATATACAATCAGGAGGGAAGACACAAGTGGCAACTACTTTTCTCCAAATGCCTTGTGATTTTTTAGAGAGGAGAAAATGTTTAATTCCTAAGCACATTGGTCCCCTGTGCACTTGACTAATCTTTTGAGTTTCCTGCCTGAGACAAATTTGGAGCTAATTTTTTATATTGATAACTCAATGTCTTTGCCTTTTTAAAAAAAATTTCCCTTGGGCCGGCCCGGTGGCGCACTGCTACAGCGCGCCGCTTGGGAGCGCGGTGGCGCTCCCGCCGAGGGTTCGGATCCCACATACAGACCGGTTCCTGCTCACTGGCTGAGCGAGGTGCGGGCACAACACCGAGGGTTGCAATCCCGTTGCCGGTCCCGGTCCGGTACGGGTGCAACACTGAGGGTTGCGATCCATTGCCAGTCACGAAAAAAGACAAAAAGGAAAAGAAAAAAAAAAAATTTCCCCCCAGCTTGGCAGAGCTGGGCGGTAGCCAACATTTCAGCTCTTTGCACAAGGACACAAGTAAATGGGTTAATCCTGCACTAGTTAGCTAATGTAGCTGTGCTCCTCAGAGGAAAAAGTCTGCTCTCAAGAAATACAGGATACAATTTGTTCATAATCTTTAAAGAGGTCAAGAGGTCTTGTGCAAGTTCAGGGGTAAAGATGATGGGGAGGACATTAGTATCCCACAGAAAATACCCAGTGTCACAAAGAAGTGACTGTGATGGTCCTCTTCACTTTTGGGCAGATCCAGTTTGTGGAGTTGGCCCCAGCCAGTGCTATGGCAGCTCTGCAGGGGATACTGAGCTGCCCTGTGCTTGTCCCTCCCAAGGGGAGTGAAGGGCAGATGCAATCCCAGGCAGCCCCAGCATGGCTCCACACATCGGGCCCCACTGCCCATGCCAACGCGGCAAGGGACCTGATGTGGGAGCACCAGGGGTGCTCAGATAGTTTATCAGAAGTGGTGTTGCTCAACTTTGGCTATGCATTTGAATCTCTGGGGGGCTTGGAAAAGAAACCTCCAATCTAAACCCAATAAACACAAGTCCCTGGTGTGGGGTCCAAAAGATGGTATTTTTAAAAAGCTTCCCAGTGGATCTCAGTATGCCACGAAGGCTGAGAAGCTCGCTTTTGAGCAGTTTCCAACTTTAGCAGCACATTAGATTCACCTGGGGAGCTTTTTAAACATCCCCACACTTAGGCCACACCCACCACCAATTTTTGGGATTGGACTCAGGCACCAAGTTTTTCTTTAAGTTCCCCAGGGAATTCCAGTGTGCCTCTAAGTTTGAGAACTAAGGTTCCAGGCCAGTGATTCTCGGCCTTTCATATGTATTCAAATTACCTTGCTAAAAATGCAGATTCTGATTTAGTCAGTCTGGATTGAGTCAGCAGGTTTGCATTTCTAACAAGCACTCAGGTGATGCCCACACTGCTAGTCCACAGACTATGCTTTGAGGAGCAAGACTAACCTAAAGAAGAGGGTCTGTTGCCTGACCTGTACGGCTTCCTGGAAAGTGCAGAAATAGGTCTCTGTCTTTCACAGCTACCTAAACTCCCCCACCCAGCATACCTCATTGTCACACTCTGCCAGGACCTGGTCATATTCGCTCAGAGCAACCAAGAAAATAATGGAGGTGACACTCTCAAAGCAGTGAATCCACTTCCGTCTTTCAGATCGCTGGCCACCAACATCCACCATCCTGTTCAATAGAAGCACAGCTCACTCAGAGGTTGCAGTACTTGACTCTTTGGGGAAAAGGACATGAATCATTATACCGTGGATACTGGTGCTCTTTGGGGTCCTAAGTTTAAAGTGTCTGAGCACTGCTTGCTTTAGGCAGTGAGGGAGCGCTGGATGTTTCCTAGCAGAGGAGGCACAGAACGTAAATGAAGTTTCTGAAGACAGGGGCAGAGGCAATCCAGGTGGAGCCTGCTTGGGGACACTGGCAATAGTCCAGGCAGAAAACACAAACATCCACTTGTTCCAACCACCAGAGTCCCAGGACACCAGACACAAAAGGGACAGAAAGGCAAGCTGTCTTCCAGGTCCCCCCAGCTGTCCTCCAGCCTTGGGCCCATTCTTATTTCACGGCTCCTCCACTTTATCCACAAATCCTCTCTGTGTTATTTGGATGCCACCCCTTCTTCCTTATAAAGACCTGCAAGTAGAGTATGGAAATCCAAAGCCTTTATCTGTGTCTTTGGGAAAGATTTCAGGGACTCACAGCCCAGGAATCACAAGCACAAATGCCCCAGGGGTCAGGCGGTTTATCGAAAGAAGTCAAGTGGGTCTCTCAAAGTAGAAACACACACACTGCCCACGAGCTAGGGCCCTGTCCGAAGGGAGAGCGAGCCACTGCTGCACAAAACGCAGGCTCACTGTAACCAGACCCTCTGACTTTTCAAGAAAAACTAAACATCAGATTTTTAAGTGAAACATCCTAATGGTTAAGCATTTTTTATAACACTGAGTGAGCCAAAGAGTATACATCTGTGGGCCAGGTACAGCCACAAGTCATAGCAATCCCTGATGATAATGGACCAGCATGGTTAGGTGATCCACAGACCAGCCCCCCATGACTGTTGTCCAGAAAGGCACTGGAAAGAAAACCAAAAATCCAACCCTGCCCTTGAACCATGTCCGGGAGGTGCAGCCACTCCTGCAATGACATGTTCATGGCTGGTTGTCTCACCTCACAGCAGAGAATGGAGCTTCTGAGGATATAGGGAAAAAAACAAACCAATCTGCTTTTCCTATTCTCTCACTCATCAACCAACACAGAAGACTTCTGTGATCAGATGTGGGGGAGAATGGAGCTTCTGAGGATATAGGGAAAAAAACAAACCAATGTGCTTTTCCTATTCTCTCACTCATCAACCAACACAGAAGACTTCTGTGATCAGATGTGGGGGATATGTTCCCACATACCAAGCAATCAACCGATTCTGCGCCAGACACCAGCTGGGTGTCCTCCAATTCAATTCAATCCCAAAAGACTGCCCCCCAGTTCCAATGGCAATGAAAAGTCCCAGGTTGTGATCTGTGCTTCTGACCGAATGGCTATAAATTTTGGTTCCCACACTCTTGGGTTCTAGAGTGACTAGAATTTGTTAGAGCGGCTCACAGAACTCAGGGAAACACATTTACTGGTTTATTACAAAGGATATTACAAAGGATATGGGTGAAGAGATGCGCAGGTCAAGGTAACTGGGAAGAGGCCTGGAGCTTCCATGCACCCCCTGCCCCCGGACGCACCACCCTCCAGGAACCTCCACGTGTTCAGCTATCTGGAAGCTGTCTGAACCCAGTCCTGCCGGGTTTTTATGGAAGCTGCACTACAGAGTCGTAGTTGATTAAATCACTGGACCTTGGTGATCAACTTAACCTTTAGTCCTTCTCCACGCTCCAAAGGATGGGGATAAGACAGGACAAATCTGGAGATGCACCGAGATATAACTGGGGATAAGACAGAACCTGGATGTGGGAGGACTGTCCTTGTGTTGTCTCAGCTAGAAAAGCATGTGTAATAACAATTGTTAGGAGGAACAAGGGAAATAATGGATATAAAAGTGCTTTGAAATTTGCCATGACGTGTATAAACTGCATTATTATTCATTTTTCTTACCGTGTATTTTGTGTGTGTGTGGGTGAGCTGGTACTGGGATCCGAACCCATGTCCTTGCAGTTAGAAGGCTGCACTCCAACCAACTGAGCTAACCAGCCAGCCCTCTTATTATATTTAAATGCAGCAAAGACCTACTTCAGTCATCCTAAAAGTATTTTCACGTATTTGCGAGTGGAAAGTAGTCCATTTTTACACAGCTGTAAGTAGTTTATCATAAGGCTACTTCAAAAAGCTCATGGAAAGATATGTATTATCTTTTAATTTTTTAATGAAATTTTGAAGTACCTTCGTATATCATCTTAATGTAATTTTAATATATATTTTTGTATTCTTAGTTTTCTTTTGTTAAGGATAAATCTTGGAGGAGGAAATAGAGGGGAAGAGAAATATTATTCACTTTAGGGAAAAGACACCAGTAGTCAATATTTGTGGGTTGCAGAAGTGTGTGTGTGTGTGTGTGTGTGTGTGTGTGTGTGTGTTACACATAAGAATTACTCTAGTTTCCAGTTTCCTTCCTCCCCAAGGGTAATAGGAAGGTGAGTCCCTCCCCACTGTAGGACTTACACAATTCTAAACATGCTGAGAGGGCAAGGGCTATTCTGCATAAGGCATAAGCCCTGCTTAGCAGTAAACACACTGAAGAGTCTGCTGGGGCTTCCAGCCTAGCAGACCAACTGCACAGGCCACGTGGAGCAACCAGTCTTACCGAAAGATGATGTTTTCCAAGTCAAACGGGTACTCGATGATGCCAGTGGTGGGCACGCGGACACGAAGCACGTCCTGCTGTGTTGGCACGAAGGACGGCATGGCGATCCGGTCAATGTCCGTCAGGTAACTGGGACGTGAGACAACGAGGGGCTGAGGCTGCTTTTAGAGAAGGGAGAAACGTCCCTCCTGCCCAAGGGAAGCCACCCCACCTCACAGTGAGCCGCACAGACAGCTTCCTTCAACGACTCCCCCGAGAGAGGGCTATTCTGCATAAGGCATAAGCCCTGCTTAGCAGTAAACACCCTGAAGAGTCTGCTGGGGCTTCCAGCCTAGCAGACCAACTGCACAGGCCACGTGGGGCAACCAGTCTTACCGAAAGATGATGTTTTCCAAGTCAAACGGGTACTCGATGATGCCAGTGGTGGGCACGCGGACACGAAGCACGTCCTGCTGCGTTGGCACGAAGGACGGCATGGCAATCCGGTCAATGTCCGTCAGGTAACTGGGACGTGAGACAACGAGGGGCTGAGGCTGCTTTTAGAGAAGGGAGAAACGTCCCTCCTGCCCATGGGAAGCCACCCCACCTCACAGTGAGCCGCACAGACAGCTTCCTTCAACGACTCCCCCGAG